TTCCCCCCCCGCGCTGTGTTGTGCACGAGCTTGTGTATAACGTTGTTATGCAGGGGGGAACCCCGAGCCGCTAGAGGCCTTTGGCCTCTCGGGGTTCCGAGGCCTGTTAGGCCTAGAGACCCAACGGGTTTAGGGGCCTTTGGCCCCTTGGGGTTTCTCCCGGGCTTCTAGGCCTAACAGGCCTCGCAAAGTCGAGGGGTCTTCGACCCCTAGAGACCCAATGGGTCTAGGGGCCTCTAAGGCTTCTCGAAGCCCTCGGTTGCCCCTAGGCTGGGTCAAAATTTTCTGATTGTTTATCTTAAGTCTTAAGGTATACAAGATAGAAAATTTTTTGTCATTTTTTGACTTTTTACTTTTTACATTTCATTATTTATTATTTTAAGAAAAGCTGTTAAATTAAAAATCATTATAAACAGTTTTGAAGCCGAATTATTTTCCTAGAATATTTTAACTAGAAAATATTTAAATTTAGGTTAACCAACTAAGACATTTTATCTTAAACCGATATTAATTTTAACTAGAGCTGAAAAAGAAATCACTCCTTAAACAGGATAATTTGAAAAGAATGTTTTGACTTTTTTATTGAAAAAATTCTTTTCAATCTAGGATTAAGTTAAAAGCAAATGCTCATTTTTAATAAATGGGAAAGTTTGTGTTCAAAAACATTAAATTAAACCTAAAAAAAAGAGCAGTTGATTTAAAAGAAATCATCTGTTATAAATTAATAAATGCAAAATAACTTAAAGTACTCAGTACTTAATTCTCTTCATTGTTTTTTTAATTATGGAAGAATAAACAAAGAAGTTAAAGAATGATGTAACTCGATTGGTAATGAAGCTAATTTTGTATACTTTGAGTCGAGATTTTAAAAGTCACCATTTTTCATTAAATAAGAAATGACAATTGATAAAATGGGATTGTGTTATATGAGATTTGTTGAGCTTTTAAAAGATAAGATTTTGTTTTTAAAAATGAAATTTGTTCTTTCAAAGAATTTTACACAAAAAACTTAAATGTCTGAATTCATTAAAGAAAAAAATCAATTAGTTTTTGAATGTGAGACAGGTAATTACCACACTTTTTGTCCGATCAGTTGTGTTTCATGGCTTTATCAAAAAATAGAAGATAGCTTTTTTTTAGTAATTGGAACAAAAACTTGTGGTTATTTTTTACAAAATGCATTAGGAGTTATGATTTTTGCTGAACCTCGCTATGCAATGGCCGAATTAGAAGAAAGTGATATTTCAGCTCAACTGAATGATTATAAAGAATTAAAACGTTTGTGTCTACAAATTAAACAAGATAGGAATCCTAGTGTTATTGTATGGATTGGCACATGCACTACAGAAATTATTAAAATGGATTTAGAAGGAATGGCACCTCTTCTAGAAGTAGAATTAGGTATCCCTATAGTTGTTGCTAGAGCAAATGGACTGGATTATGCTTTCACTCAAGGTGAAGATACTGTTTTAGCAGCAATGGCACAAAAATGTCCAGAATATTCATTAGAAAAGGATAATAGTCCTTCTAATTTGTCAAACACTAAAGAAATTTCTAATTTAGTTTTATTCGGATCATTACCTAATACTGTTGCTACTCAATTATCTTTAGAATTAAAAAGACAAGGAATTGAAATTGCAGGTTGGTTACCAGGTCAAAAATATGTTGATCTACCACAATTAAGTAAAAATACTTATGTATGTGGAATCAATCCTTTTTTGAGTCGTACAGCAACAACGTTGATGAGACGTAAAAACTGTCAACTTATTGTAGCTCCGTTTCCGATTGGACCAGATGGGACACGTGCATGGGTTGAAAAAATTTGTGAAACATTTGGTATAATTGCTCAAGATTTAGAGAAACGAGAAACAAAAATTTGGGAAGGGCTTGAAGATTATTTAAAATATGTGCGAGGTAAATCCGTATTCTTTATGGGTGATAATTTATTAGAGATTTCGTTAGCTCGTTTTTTAATTCGTTGTGGAATGATTGTTTATGAGATTGGAATTCCGTACATGGATCGTAGATTTCAAGCAGCTGAGTTAGCTCTTTTAGAAACGACTTGTGAAAAAATGAAGGTTCCGTTTCCTCGTATTGTAGAAAAACCTGATAATTATTATCAAATTCAACGTATCCGAGAACTACAACCGGATCTCGTGATTACTGGTATGGCCCATGCCAACCCCCTAGAAGCACGTGGAATTACGACAAAATGGTCTGTAGAATTTACTTTTGCTCAAATTCACGGTTTTACAAATAGTCGAGAAATTTTAGAACTTGTCACTCGACCTCTACGTCGAAATGAAAACTTAAAGTCTTTTAACAATTTTGGAGAGAAATTCGTTAAGGTCGACTGCTAAGGTTAAAGGTCCTTATAAAGACAAAACAAAAATTCAATATTTTTTGTTTTGTCTTTCTTTTATCAATAAAATATTTCAATCTAAAAAAAGTATCCTTAGTTAAAACGAAAATAACTTGTTTTTTTTTTTTATACTATTTATAATAATTGAATTTAGATTTTTAATCTTAGAATTATCTAAACAGAAAAAACGGTTAATCAAATTTAATAAATATAGACTATATTATTTTTCAATCTTTTTAAAAAAATCTGAAAATGAAAATTTGGTCAAACTTTTTTACTCTATAAAAAGTGAATTTTTTAAATTTCTAAAAAGTTCAACAACTGTAATTTGTTAAACTACAGTAATATTAAAGTAACATATAAATGGGACAAAAAATTCATCCTTTAGGATTTCGTGTAGGTATTACAAAAAGACATGAAACAGTTTGGTTTGCTCGATTTGAAAAACGTCAATACGCACAAACTGTTCTAGAAGACATTTTTTTAAGAAAAACTCTTCAACAATTATTGCCTGAATTGTTAAAAAAAAAATACAATAATTCTGAACAAGTTGGAAAAATCGCACAAATTAAAATCGAACGTGGCTTTATTCCGTATGAAATTGGTATTCAAATTCATGCTCAAAATTGCGAAGCGATTAAAACTGCTGTAGATAAATTAGAATTAAATCCAAATTTATTACAAAACTGTTTAAAAAATCAATTTGTTTTAGAAAAAGCGTCAATCAAAAGTCAAGATGTTTTTCAACTAAAAACAACTCCGTCATTAGAAAACAATCTTCAGAAGAGTCTTTCTAAGAAAAAGAAAAACAATTCAAAATTCGAAAATTTTTCTTCATCAAAAAAAACAAACAGATTTAACCTTTTAGACAAACGCTTGAAAAAAAGAAAAAACACATTAGAACGTTTCCGTCAACGTATTTTAGAAAATATGTTAATTGTTAAAAAAGGTAAAAAAATTACAAGAAAGTTTCAAAAAACAGATGTTCGATCTTTACGATCTACACGTAAAACAAATGATTTTGTGAGAACTAGACAAGGGAAAAACCAAAACAAATCACAAAGACGTTTTGTATTAAATCGTTCAAACACGAATAAAGAGAAATCAAAAAATAATCAAACAGATTTTTCAATTTTAGGCACAGCTCGTTTACGTTCTATTTTAACTGAAAATCGTGAACAATCACAAAAAACAACGAAATTCATGAACGTTTTTCTTTCAAAAATGAATAGAAATTTTGTGGTTTTATTAAAATCAGAAATGTCTTATTGGAATTCGTATCTGGAAAATTATAAAACAGACCAAGTTAAAAAATTTGCTCGTTTACGTTATGCTCCGCTAGGTTATCAAACAAAATGGAGTTTAGCTCGACTGAAACGTTACGAAAAACAACCTTTAAATGTTTTAGTGAAATTATTAAAAGTTTTACAAAAACAAGCATTACGTAAACTAGAACTATTACGTAAAGAGTTTTTAGTGTTAGGGACTCTTTCTAAAATGAAATCTTTCCTTTATTTTCAACGCATTCGTTTTATTAAGGCTTTAAAAAACTTTATTCAACAATCTAAAATCGAAGTTTTAGCAAAACAAAAAAATAAATTAGGAGATCGTAGTCATCGAGTTTTATCACAAACTTTAAGTACGCAAAAACGTTTAGAAAACGAAAAAGCATTGTTAGGTTTTACAGAAAAGGCTTTAAAACGAAAATTCACAAATCTGAAAGAAGAAAATCGCAAAGTTAAGTTTGTAGAATATTTACAATCAATTGTTCAAAAACACCGTCAAAAAAATCTTTTTTTATATTTAACAACAATTGCTGATTCACGTAAATATTTACGTCAAATTCAAAAGTTTACAAAAGAACAAGCAAGTTTTTTATTTGGAATTAATAAGAACATGTTAGAACAAATGACTTCAGAACAAAAACGTGATTTTGTTAAAAATCAATTAAAAAAATCGATTCAAAGAGCAAACCGCCAAAACGAATTACAACGAAGTTTACAAGATGTATTTGTACGTCAAATTCAAAAACAAAAATCAATCTGTCAACAAAATTTAGCATTAACTCCCAAAATTTCTTTAAAATTTTATTCAGTAAAATCAGAAATTATTGAAACAAATGCTTCAATCGTAACAGATACTATTGTAGACAAATTAGAAAAACGTGAAGCTTTTCGCCGGGTAATTAAAAAAGTTTCTGAAGATTTAATGAAAACGAGTAAAGTTAAAGGTGTTAAAATTCAGGTTTCTGGACGTTTAAATGGAGCTGAAATTGCTCGTTCTGAGTGGGTACGTGCAGGTCGTGTTCCTTTACAAACACTTCGTGCCAACATTGATTATTGTTACAAAACAGCCCAAACTATTTATGGGATTATTGGTGTTAAAGTTTGGATTTATAAAGGTTATACAAAATTGAACAAAAACGCTTAATTTAATTTTTATTGTCATTCGACAATTTTTTAGGTTTTTTAAAAATTAACTAGAATTTTTAAAAAACCTAAAACTTTATTGTTGTTAATTAATATACTAAGAGTTAAGAAATTATAGTTTTATTACTTGTTCAAAAATTAAATTTTTGTTAAAATAGTTTTAAGAATAAAATATTCTTAAAAACAGTAAAATTTTTACACTTTCTATTTTTGATTCTTCTAACTAAGATTAAGTCTTTAAAATTTTTATAAATTTTTGGATTTAACATTGTTAAACCGTTGTATAAGAGCCTTTCGATCAAAGATCGAACGGGGGGCTTCGGGGGGGGGGGGACCCCCCCGGCCCAACGGGCCTAGCATAACGTTGTTATTCGGGGGCCTAGACCCGTTGGGTCTCGGGGGTTTCCCCCCGAGGCTCTTAGCCTCTCGGGGGAAACCCGAGGGCTTCTCGAAGCCCTAAGCCCGGGGGGGAAACCCCCCCGCAAAGCCCGAAATTATGTTTTTTATTTATTAGAAGATTCGACTTTTTTTTGGATTTAACATTGTTAAACCGTTTATAAATTCTTTTTATAAAGCTTATTGTATTTTTTATGGACTCATCAAGACAAAAAATAAAAAACGTAAATTTTTCTTTATTAAAAGATAATAATCCTATCTTTTGGAATTTTTCATTAGATAAAGTAAGATTAAAAAATTTTGTGTCATGGTTTTTTAAAAACCATGGTGAAAAAAAAACACTTCAATTATTAGAGCAATTAAAAAATTTAGGATTTGGTTATGCAACTCAAGCAGGAATCTCTTTAGGTATCGAAGATTTAAAAATTCCACCTAATAAAAATAAATTGTTAGCTGAAGCCGAAAACAGTATTTCTAATTCACTTATTAGTTATCGTAAAGGAGAAATTACTGGTATTGAAAAAAGGCAGCAATTTATTGAAACTTGGCATGAAATTAGTGAAAATTTAAAGCAAGAAGTTGTTCGTTATTTTGAAAAAACAAACATTTTGAACCCAGTTTATATGATGGCTTTTTCAGGGGCTCGTGGGAATTTATCACAAGTGCGCCAACTTGTTGGAATGCGAGGGTTAATGTCTGATCCTCAAGGTAAAATTATTGAATTTCCTATTCAAAGTAATTTTCGTGAAGGATTAACTCTAACAGAATATTTAATTTCAACTTATGGAGCTCGTAAAGGTATTGTTGACACAGCTTTAAGAACTGCGACAGCAGGTTATTTAACTCGACGTTTAGTCGATGTAGCACAGCACGTTATTGTATCCACTTTTGATTGTGGAACGAAAAGAGGTATTTTTCTTTTTGATATGAAAGAAGGAAACAAAACTATTTATTCTTTTTCAAATCGATTAATTGGACGAGTCCTTGCGCAAAATATTTATGCATCTGTAAATGTTAACCAGCTTTTAAAAACTGAAGCATCCAAGTCAAAGCTCGGGTTTCGGAATCAAGAAATCAATACAGAATTAGCAACTGCTATTGCGAAACTTCATAAAAAAGCATTAGTTCGTTCTCCTTTAACATGTGAAACTAGAAAACTCGTTTGTCAACTTTGTTATGGTTGGAGTCTAGCGACCTCACGTTTGGTTTCCGTCGGAGAAGCTGTCGGAGTTATTGCAGGTCAATCTATTGGTGAACCGGGAACACAATTAACAATGAGAACTTTTCATACTGGAGGGGTTTTCTCGGGAGAGATTACAGAACAGATCAATGCACCTTTTTCTGGAATCGCTGAGTATTCAGAACCCATTTCAGGTGCTTGTATTCGCACACCACTAGGTTTTTTAGCTTTTTTAACAAAAACAAACGGTACCCTTTTTTTCAAAAAATCGAAAATGAAATTGTTAGAAGATGATTCTTTACACTTAAACAAAACACTGACAAATGAATCGTCAGTAATGAATGTTTATAAAATCCCCTCTTTTACTGTTTTGTTTGCACGTCATGGTGAATTCATAGAAAAAAGCAAATTTTTAGCACAAATTTCTTTGTTTCCTACGGGGCAAAAAACCACTCAGACAATCGAACAAACTATTTATTCTTCACTAGAAGGCGAAGTTTATTACAATCAAATTGATCTTTTAGAAGATATCGATGAAAAATATGGGGAACATATTTCAAAAGCGGAAGATTGGTCAAAAGTTTGGGTACTTTCAGCAAAAATTTCTAATAATACATTGGTTTCAGACTACTTACCTAAGTGTGGAGATTTTGTTTCAAAAAATTCTATTGTTAATCAAATTCAATGGTTGACAAATTTTTCACAACCTTCTTATATTAATTATAATACATCAAATGCTTCAAACTTTAAAAATTCAGACTATTCATATGAATCAAAACGGTTGTTTAAGTCTTTTCAAAGTTATTCTTTATCAAACAATAAATTGAAATCAAATCTAACGCTAAATTCATCTTTCAATGCTGTTTTAGCTCTTAAAACAAAATCAATAGACAATTTCTCTTCAAATTTTAAAATTTTTTCTAAATATCAAAAAAGAAAAAAATTTTTGTTAAATAATATAAACTTGACGAATTTAAATCAAAGACAAATTTTTTCTGTTTACTATTTACGAAACATACAAACTTGTTTTGTATACCCATATCAATTCAATTTTCGTTATAATTTTCTAAAGTCAATTGCCCAAACCGTTATTTTTTTACCTATCTTAGGTTCGGGAGTTTTAACAAATTGGTTAAACTTAAAAAGTTTAAAACACAAAAAAAACAAAAAACAAAAAGTAATGAACTTAGTACAAAAACAATCTACAGTTTTAGTAAAAAGATTAAATTTAAATAAAAAATTTAAAGTTAGGCACAATGTTGTTATGCGAGGGCAAGCCTCTAGGCCCGGGGGGGCTTTGCCCCCGGGGCCTCAGAAATCCCCTCGCTCGGGGGGCCAAGGGCCCCCGCAAAGCCCGAGACCCAATGGGTCGGGGGGTTCCCCGAGGGCCCTCGGCCCGGGGGGGGGACCCCCCCGCGCATTAAATAAAACGAATTTTTTCCATCCATTAATTTTAGCAAATTTTGTTTCTTTTTCATCAACTTTAAACACGAAAACTCTTAAAAATTTTTATAAAAGAAAATCTAAAATTTCAAATGTGAAATTAGAAAAATCAATTGTTTATCCTTATTTTCCTAACAATTATCCCAATCCTTTAAGTGAGTATAATTATTTAAATAAATCAGACACAGATTTTTGGTTGTATAAAAAATCTATGGAAAACGTTTTCAACAAATTTTCTTTCAAAAACCAAGCTCAATTAAAAAATTTGCAAAACTCAAAACAAAAAAAACATCACGGATCTTCTATAATAACGAAATTCGAAAAGAATAAAATAAGAAATATCTTTTTTAAAAAAACTACAACCTTAAAACGGGAACAACTTTCAATAAAAACTCCTATTCTTTTCTTAAATACTGAAAAAATTTGTTATAGAAAACTTGGTTATTTTGTTTCGATTGAAATAGAACCAAATAAAAGAGATCAACTTTTTAGTTTTTTACCTCTTCAAAATGACTCTTCTATGGATATTCATAAAATACATATATTGAATAAGTCTTTAGGGTTTTCTTCATTTTTATCCTTAAAAAAAAATTTAAAAAATACAAAATTAAAAAACCCTAATGCGAATAATACTTTAAATTTAAACAACACTGATTCGTGGAGTCTAAACTCAAACCAAGGCTTTTATTGGTTTCCAGAATTTTCACAAACCATAACCAACGGTATTTTTTCAGTTTTAGGTCCAACAATTTCTCAAAAGATTTTTAAAACAAAATTTTTTAAACTTAAAACAAAAAATACAAAAAGTGCTTTTTTTTATACAAAAAAATATATTCAGTTTCTAAATCTTGCCCAATCACAAATAACTAAAAAAAATCTGACAAACAAAATGAATTTTAGTAAGACGTTCAGGAAAAAAAAATTTTCTAAATTTTTAAAAAATCAAGAAAAAAATAAAGGTACTATTTTTCAATCTGTTTTGTTTTCTAATTTGGCTAACATCAATTTAGCATATCACAGTGAAACAAAAGACGTACGTTTTACTAATAAAAATTTCTATTTAAGTCATTTTAATCAAGATTCTTTTTCTAAAAAATTACAATTAATTTTTATGAATATCGAAAATTATCAAATGTTTCACTTTGTTTCGCCTTTAAATAAATATCCCTGGTTTGAAAAAAAAAGTCACGAAAAGGCTTTCAATTATTTAAAGACACTAAATCACAAATCATTGAAACAGCAACTTAAATCTAATTATATTTCAGTAAAGAAATCTTTTATTATAGACAACTTCAAACAAACTGAAAAAAAAGATTCTAAAAAATCTAGTGAAAGAAAGATATTTTCTTTTTCTAAAAAAGATTTGGAATATTCTAAAAATTTAACTGTTAAGCTAAATCAGTTTAAAAAATTGTCAACACCTTTTCAAGAAATTTATTGGTTAGCTCAAGAAAATTATTCTTTAAATGTATTAATTAATAATAATAAGTTGAAAAATTTTGGTTTAAATGAATCTCGATTTATTTTTAATTCAAATCATACAAATTTTAACCGAATTAAAGAAAGAACTAACATTTATTTAACAAATTATCAAGGATTAAAAAAAGAGTTTGTCTTTAAATATGATGGTTTGCTTAAAATTCATACATCAGAAGTTTTAAACACGTTTAATAAAAATGGACAATTGGACAAACCGGTAAATTTAAACTTCACAAAATCATCTTCTTTAGCCCATTCTAAATTAAAAGTGAAATTTATTAAATATGTTTTAATGAAAAAAAATTTCAAACGAAATTTGTTCTTAAACACTCAAACACAACAAAATTTGCATAAATCAAAGGTTAATGGTTTATTTTGTGTAAATCTTAAAAACTATAATAATTTTTTAAGTTCTTTACCTCTTTTACAAAGAACAAATATCTCTACTCGAAGTCCAGAAAATTTTACAACTGTTAAAAATTTTGCAAAAAAAAAATATTCTAAAAAAATTTCAAAAACTAAAAATTTAGCATTAAATATTACCTTAAAACCAGGTTGGATTTATAAAACGACAAATTTATCGAATATTTTTAATATTCACAAACTTTTAATTTCAGCTGGAAATAATTTATTAGATGACATTTGTTTTGAGCAACAAAATATTTTTGTCGAAATAATTTCATTGAATAAAATGTGCTTGCCAAATTTATTCAAGACTGATTTTAAAAATCAGAAATCAACAAATTCATTTAATACGTTAATAAAAGTCAAAAATTCTAAATGTCGTTTTTTACAAAAAAATAAAGATATTAAACAAAAGCATCAAAAGAATTTACTAAAATTTGGGGGAACCAACGGTCGATGGGGCCCACGGGGGGGGGAAACCCCCCCGCAAGCGCTTAGGTTTATAAAACCTAAAAGAACCCCGAGTGCTTCTCGAAGCCCTCGCAAGCTCCGTGATGTTACTGCTTTATTTTTCTTGATTCGACCTTTAAATCATAGGCTTTTTCCTAACCATCAACAAATGAAAAGAGCACTCTATAAATGTATGCAAAAAAAACGAACAAATGAATTGAACTCATCTAATTTTCTTTATAAAAAATATTTTTCAAATGAACTCAATCAACAAACAAACGCGTTAAAAAGTCTTTCAAATTTTGAACCACTAGATTTCCAGTTAACTCGGATGAATTTATGGGATTCCACATTTGTTTCAAAGAAACAAAAATTTTTACTTTTCAATTCAAAAAAACTAAATCCAAAACAGAAAATTGAAGAAACACCAAAAAAAACTTCGTTTTCAACCCTATTCCCAAACTCTTTTTTTAAATCTTTTTCAAAAAAAGGACAGGTTTTTTATTTAGCTAAAAAGATTTCCAATTTTTTTTCAAATTCATCGAATTTTCGAAAATACGAACGAGGACGCAACTGTATTTTGGAAAAAGCTTATTTTTCTAATTATTCAGTAAATTTTACACAGTGCAAAGTTTCTTTAAGTTTATCACGGTCATCTATAGCGAATGCATCGACAACTGCCGCTGGTTTTTTAGCTTACTCTTTTCCACAAATCTCTTTAAATAAAGAGCCTACAAGAATGGATTTTTCTGAATATAGCTCTACAGAATACAATAATTATTTGAAAAACCAATATTTAAGGATTTTAATGATAAGAAGTTCTCACTCACTTTTTCAAAAAAATAACGCTTTTTTTAGTAAGACTCAAAAATTTAGTGAAGTTAGCAATTCTTTAGAAAAGTCACGATTTCGATTTTATAAAAAAAGAATTATTAACTTACAATCTTTTTTGAACTTTTATAATTCTATGCCGTTTTTTGAATATTCTTTAAATCAAAAATATGGTTTCTTAGCCAATCAAAAATTGTTTGCTTCATCTTTTTATAAACAACAATTTGAAAATTATTTCAAAATTACAGTTTTAGACAGTAAAACAATTTTCAATGAAACTTTCAACGGAAAACGATTTATTCAGAAAAAAAGAAACAAAAACGTAGTTTCAGATTTTTCTCGTAACTTTCCAATTTCAAAAAATCATTTAATCTTAAAAAAGAATTTTTTAAAAAATACGATGTCCCTAGGTTTAACAAGTTTTTATAGTCCTTATGAGGGTGAAGTTTTAAAAATTTATAATCAGAATTCAGATATCTTAAACTTAAGAAAAAGCGTAAATGTGTATCTGGAAACAGGATTAGAGCAAGAAAGACAACAACAAAAATTGATTTTAACAAAATCAGATATATTTGGTTTAGAACTTCCAATTACTAAAGTTTCTTTTTTAGACTTAAAAAAACCATTGCAATCACCTGTCCGTTTTTTCGATTCAATGTGGGGTTCAAAACAAAGTTCTAACGTTGTTTTATCTGTGCCAAGCTCAGAATCTTCGATTTGGAGAAAGATCGATTTTTTTCGCTCATTCTTTAGAACCGTTGACAGTTGGAAAAATTCACGCGAGTGGCATCCGCTAAATCGAGGCCACGAAAAAACAAATTTTTCTAAAACCTATAAACCAGAGATCTTCAATTTTAATCATTTAGAAGATCAAACATTTTTTAACCTGATATCGACAAAAAACTCTTTAAAATTTTTACTGTTTTATCATGAAAGATTTAAACGATTAGAAAAACATTATTATGATGAATTTGATTTAAATCAATATAAAATTTCTGACTTTAATACGCATTATAAAAATAAACGTTATAAAATAAAAACAGTGAGTTTTGACTTGATTAATCAAAATAAAAAGTTACGTTTAGGAGCATTTGTTAGTACAGGTGAGAAGTTTTATTCTAATTTAACTTTTTTAAAGTCAGGTTTGATTATTCACTTAAGTTCAAAAAAATTAACATTACGAAAAGCTCAATTCTTTTTTATTTCTCCTCAAGCTATACTACATACATATCATGGGCATTGTTTAACAAAAAATTCGCCAGTTATGACTCTTCCATTTCAAACATTAAAAACAGGTGACATTGTCCAAGGAATCCCAAAAGTTGAACAATACTTAGAAGCTCGTACAACAATTCGTGGTCGATTATTTTTAAATAGTTTACCTGTTTTACTTTATGCTATTTACCAGCGTTATTCGTCTCAATTAAATATGGAAAAAGCAGTTCAACAAAGTTTTTTAAAAATTCAACAAATTTTGGTAGATGGGGTGCAACGTGTATACAGATCACAAGGTGTTAGTATTGCAGATAAACACTTAGAAATTATTGTACGTCAAATGACATCCAAAGTTAAAATTGTTTATGGTGGACAAACAGGATTTTTTCCTGGAGAGTTTGTTGATTTAGAATTTGTCGAACGTATTAATCGTTTTTTAATGGTGAAAATCCGATATGAACCTGTTGTTCTTGGAATTACTCGAGCATCTTTAGAAGTCGATAGCTTTTTATCGGCAGCGAGTTTTCAACAAACTACAAAAGTCTTAAGTCGAGCAGCTATGGAAAATAAAAAAGATTTTTTAAAAGGTTTAAAAGAAAATCTTTTAGTAGGGAATTTACTTCCAGCTGGCACAGGGTATATTGTTCCAATTTCAGAAAAAAGGTTTTCGAAAATCCTTATTGACGATTGAATAAATTTAAAGCAAAAATTGTAAAAAATTAAACTTCTTAATTTTTTTATTATTGTAAAAAATCAAGGAAAGCCGATACGATTAGATTAATCGGCTTTTCTTGATTTTTATTAACAGTTTAGATAATATAATTTATAGGACTAAGCCTGCTTAACTCAATCGGTAGAGTATCGGTTTTGTAAACCGAAGGTTACCGGTTCAACTCCGGTAGTAGGCTTTTTGAATTTTATATCGTAAAGCTAAGAGCCCCCCGGTGGCCCGGAGCAGACCTCCCCACACATAACAACGTTATGCATGCCTTTGCTAGTTTTGTTTTTTTTAGAAGAACTAGTATTATGTTCTATCAAAAAACATTCTTTTAAAAAGAAATTCTTAAATGTTTTTTGTTTTAATTTTAAAAAATTTTAGTTTTTTTTTAAATTAAAACTAAGAGAAAATTCTTTATAATTTTTGACTCCAAAATCAACAAAAAAATTTTTGAAAAAAAGTATTTTACTCCAAAAAAATCTTGTGGAATTTTTAAATTGGCGAGAAAAAAAAAAAACGGATCTTTTTTTAATTAACTCATTGAGTTTTTCTAAACCAAATGAGAAAAATCGAAAAAATAGAAAAGTTTTTCCAAATGTCTCAAGCCCGGTTAATAACATTTTTATAAAAAATAAAAAGTTTACAAAAAAAATGTATCGATCTACTCAAAACAAATTAAGTTTAGATTTATTAAAACAAAAACAAAGACTTTTACTTTCAGATTTTTTTCCACACAAAAAACCATTCATGCATTTTTGGATTTTTCCTTTATTAGGTGGTTGTTTTATGAGTTTAATGACATTTCATAGCGGTAAGGGTTTTATAAACAAAAATCAAAACTTTCCAAATCTTGATTTTTCAGTAAGAAACGTTCGTAATTCACGAGAAAACTCTAAACAAAGTATTTTACAATTATATAAACCATTAAAAGATAATAACGTAAACTTAAAGCTTCTTTTGGGACCTTCTAATTCATCTAAAGTACACGTGAGCCGAGGGCTCGTGACTATGCGGGGGCCAATGGCTCCACCGACCCCCCAATCTTTTTCTGAAATCTTCGATTCAGGACCCGAGCGTAGCCTCCGAACAAAGCTTTGTAATGTTAAAGATGAGGCATCCATTGGAACAACAACGAGGAATCAATTGTTAACTTTTTACGCAAATTATACAAACCAAGAACCTCTTTCGTCTAGATTAAGACAAGATTATCAAAACATTGTTCTTAATAAATTTTTACCTGTTGAGTTCGAAAAATTATGTTTATTTTATCTAAATTTAACAAATCAAAATTTAAACATGAATTCGAATAATTATTTACAAAATAAACAAAACTATAAATATTTTCTGAAACAAATATTACAGCAAAATAATTATCTAAAAAACGAAGCAACATTCCATTTGGTTTGGCATGTATTAAAAGTGGAACCCAATAATGTATTTTCAGTTCAGCACGTAAACACAAAAAATAACTTTTTACACAATTTAGATTTGAGAAAATCTTTTAAAAAAGGATTTTTAGATTATTTTCCAATGGAACATTTCGCTCAAAAACTCTATAATGAAAATGCTACGTATTATTTAAAAAATTCAAATTTAAAGTCTTTTCTTTTTTCTAATTTAATAAAACAAATTAAAGATATACCACATATTTCTTACTATAACGCTTCTGTTTTGCTAGATAAATGGATAAAAACATTAAAGTTAAATTCTATAACGCAAAACCCTCTAAAATCATCTCAAATAAGCATGAATAATATCAATAATCTTTTGACAAAAGAGACTTTTTCGGAATTTTGTGACAAATTGTATGTGTTAGAACATTTATTTTCAAACTCTTCAAAATATCAAAACGATTTGACTTTTTATTTTTATACTTTACTCGAAACTTTAAATAAAAACCAAAACAATTATCAATACATTTATTCTCAAATTAATCCAAATTTTAAAAAACTAGAATCTAAAAAAATAGCTCAATTATTCGCAACTGTTCTCATTGATTCTAAAAAAGATTCTACTTTGAATTCTTTAAAAAATTTGAAAAAAAAATTTCAAAATGAATATCGATATCATCTAATGAAAGTTCTATTAAAAAATTCTTTCTATAAGACAAATTCAAAAAAGAATATAATATCACCAAACTCTTTTCAAACTTTTTCAACAATGCGGAACGAAGTCCTAGGCCCTGTGGGCCTCGACTTTGCGGGGGCCAACCGTCGAGCCCCAATGGGTCTAGAGGGGCCGAGGGCCGAAGGCCCTAGCCCGAGACCCAACGGGTCGGGGGGTTCCCCGAGGGCCGAAGGCCCGGGGGGGGAACCCCCCCGCGAACCCAAATTGACTTTTTTCAATATATCGGACGTCCAAGTTAAAAGAATTTTGAATTATACACTTTTTTTAAAGTTTATTAATAACAAACCTTTGCTTCAAGCTAAAACACTTCCTATTTTGAAAAAAATTAAATTGCGCCGTAAATCAGAGCTACTATATAATTTTACGAATTTAGTAGATCCGATGGTTATTTCAACACAAAAAAAAAATTTAAAAAACATAACTTACGAATTACTTTTATTACAAAACTGGAAAACTTTATTTGCAGATATTTGTTATATCAATGTTCTTGAAAAAAATTTTAAATATACAATTTCTTCTGATTTATCTAAAAAATTTGCTTTATTCAAAACTGGGGCACAGCGGGGGTCTAGACCCATAGGTTCTCTAGGGCTTCTAGGGGCCTTTGGCCCCTCGGAAGCCCTCGCAAGCCCCATGACCTCGGAGGGCAAAGCCTCTGCAAAACAAAAATTGATTCAACCCAAAATAAAAAAAACTCAAGAATTAAAATTTTTAACAAATAAATTAACTAAAGAAATCACTTTGTATTGTAAGTTAAATACAATTTCAAAAAAACTTATCAATTCTGTTTCTTCGTTAACAGACCAAAACCAAAAAGATAATCAACTTAACCAGCTAGTTATTCAATATAAAACACCCATTTTAATAGCAAAAATTCAAAAAGAACTATTATCATTTCCAAATTTCAATAACGAGTTTAATTTATTAACTGCAAACCCGACAACAACAAAATTTAAAAACATTTCTTGGGTTCGAAGTCCATTGTCTTGGTTTGAAATAGCTTCAAAACAAAATGATTTAAGCAATCTCATGTTCTCTTCTCAAAAACTATGGAATAATTTTTCAAATTCACAAACAACTGTTCCTATTCTACCAAATGGGAAAAAAATAAATTTTATTAAATCATTAATCAAAACAAATACGAAAAAGTTTTTAACTTTCAAAAATTTATTATCTGGATCAACCTCTTTAAGTGAAGATACACAACAGCCAAAACTTTGGCCGGGGGGGACCCCGAGGCCCTATGGGCCTAGAAGCTCCGAAAAAGCTAAAACAATAACTTTTTTAATTCAAAAAAAATCAAAGGGTTTAAAAAATCAACCTGTTTATTTTTTAAAATCATCCCAAACTACAAAATTTTTAAATAAGGAAAACTTGTTTAAAAACTTTCAACACAAAAATAGAAGACAGTACAAAACCTCGGATTATAATTTTGAAAAACGTCAATCTGAAAAAATTTTTAGAACTTATTTCTCGGTTAAATCTTTCCAAAAACCTGATAAAGACTTATTGCATAAAAACAATCGTTTTAAACTAAATTCATTAAAAAGTTCCCTAAACTCATCCAATTCCTTTCATTCAATTCTGCCAGTTTTAAAAAAATTGAAGCAAAAAGTTAAAAGTCAAACGTTGTATTACAAACTTAATAAAGATTTACTTCGTTTAAATTCAGTGAACGATTTGTTATTAAAAAACCATGATTTGAGACTAAGAAACGATAACTTTAATCAAAAATCAAAGATGACTTCGCATTTTTCTAATAAAATATGTTTAACAAAATGTTATAACGCTATCAATTTTAATAAAGTTTTATCTAAACAAAACAGTTTAAATTCTAAAACGTTTTTAAAAAAATTTGGTGAAAGTTTTAATTTTTTTAAAAAAGCTGATTTTTCCCTTAACGAAACTGAAATTAACCGTTTAGAAAAAAAAAAAGCGGTCCAGAAGAAACGTCGTTTAAAAAAACTCAAACTTGAAAATCGTCGAAGAAAAAAAAGAAAACGCTTTTATCCTCGTCCAAATTATTTACGTTTTCAATTGTATTATTCTTTTTTAAAAAAGCGCCACTTGTTAACTCGTAACAAGATTGACTCGAAGACGTTGGAATTTTTGATCCAAAGAGGGCGACTGAGCAAAGACAAAATAAAAAATCAAATCGCAAGTAAAAAATCAAGATCAAAATCTTTCCAAGAAAAAATATATCGTCACCAAAAACAAAAATGGGGAAACGTTTCATCAGAATTGTTATTTTCTGAAAAATTATTCTTAAAAAAAATACCATTGAGTTGGACAATTCCAACCTATCATGATCAAGAATTTTATAAAATATCAAATGAAACTTTAACAGAATTTGAACGTTTATGTTGGAAATCATATTGGTTAAGATCAAATTTAACCCCGTATATTCGTCGAATTCAAAACAATTTTAAAAAAATGCAAAAAAAAGAAAGTTTAAAACAATCTAAAAAAACGTTTTCAATTATTTTAGAAAATTTACTAACTTGGCCAGTTTTTTGGAATAACGAAAATTTTTTTAAATTGAATAACAAACAAGTGAAACAAATGAAAAATTTAACTCCTGCGTATTTAAATATAAAAGAAACTTTACAAAATTCTTTTTTTAAAGTTTCCAACCTGACTCATTTCAAAAATGTAGAAAACACAGCAGAATATAATCGCCTTATTTCTGAACGTATTACGGATGAAATTAAAAATGTGAAAAGTCAGTTAAATGTTGATGGACAAACTCATGCTCGAAGCTATAAGGTTGGACGTCAAAAAATCGATAAGCCGATTTCAAAAAATATTTGGACTTCGTTAAATTCATTTAACAACAATTTTTTAGAACCAAAAATTGAAGCTTTTTCTCTTTCTCCGACGCGTCTTAGCGACACTTTTGCACAGATGAGCGATTCTTTTATAAAACCTTTTGGTGATTTACCAACCTTACGACTTTTGTGGGCTGTTAATAAAACAAACTTATTTACTTATAACGAAAACAATTTTTCAAGAAATTTATGGTCTATTTATAAACATCGTGAACAAACCAAGAATAATAAAACAAAAAAATTTATTTCTCAAATTTTTAATTCTTATAATTTAAATGCAAAAACTGTCGAAACGATGTCATTAAATAAAACAAGACTAGCATGTAAAAAAATCTTATCTTTTGGTGGGTTTATTTATGAAAAAAATTATAAGTTTTATTTACGTAATCTAAAATATAAATTACAAAGAGCACCAATTTTAACATCAGATTTAGTTAAAATGTCGGGGGGCAAAGCCCCCGCAAACAAAAAAAATTCTAATAGTTCTAAAATTCTGTTGTTGAATCAAAACAAAACAATCTTTAAAAATTTAAAGTTACAGGAAAAAAATTGGTTTGAAAGTAATTTAAACCATAAATCTCAAAAACGAATAATTCATTTTTGGTGGTCTACTCGACAAGTGAATCCTATTGAACAAATGTTCTCGCTTTGGCTTGCATCACCAACAATTTTTTTAGATTTAGACTTTTATGTTTCAGAAAATACAAACTCAATTATTGAGCGAGATTCTTTAAAAAGTATTAATCGAGTCTCAGATCTTAAATTATTAGTTGAGAGTCCAAATCCTGTGTTCAGAACAGAAACAAGTAAAATTTTACTAATAACAAGTTTTTGGGTTTGTTCTTTATTATTTCATATTTCGATTTTATTCACAGTTATACGTATTTCGGAAATTCGAAGTCTAGCAAAATTTCAATTTTTGATCCTTTATAAACTTACTAACAGTTATTTAATTTGTTTATTTTCTATTTCTGATCTTTTCGAAAATTATAAAACAAAAATTACTTCTTTAATAAAAAACACCTGGAGATTTTCTAGTAAAACTTGCAACAATTCTAGCTTTTCACAATTTCAAGAATTAAATAGGAAACATTTTGAAAAAAAATGGATTAGACAAAACAGGTTAAAATTCATTTATAATAAACAATTTATGTTAAATCAGTCAGAAAAAAAATTGAGTTGGAAAGATGTAGACATTCTTAATGTTCAAATCCCAAATTTGCAAAACCTTTCAAACCAAAAAGCGAAGTTAGAAAATTCATCTCTTCAACGATGTTCTAAATTTCAATCTAAACAGTTAATTCAATCTACAATTAATTTTCATTTCAGTTTTCGAGATTTTTTTATTTTCTCGACAAAAAACGATAAAAATTTTTCTAAGTCCAAGATTATTGAAAATTTTTTGATTTTTCATTCAATAAATCCATCTTTAGATAAGTTAAAATTATTGAAAAAACTTGATCTAGTAAATTCTAAGATTTCTCAAAATTGGTTTTATTCGTGGTACACAGGATTTTTATGGTATACGTTTTTTACATCTTTCAAAAATTTCAGGTCCAAGAGTCAAAATAACTCTTTAACTAAGATTGGCTCGTCAAACATGAAAGTTAACCCTACTTCTTTAAAATTAGAAATGTTTCAAAAAAAAGAGATTTATTTCAAAAAAAACTTAATGAAAACTTTAAATTTTTCAGATAAATTGACAAAATTTAGTTCTAAAAAAACTTTGCGGGGTTTTACGAGGCCGGGGACAAAGCCCTGGACTATGCGAAGTCTGGAGGCTTATCAAAGCCGAGACCCAATGAGCCGGGAAGCCCGGGGGGGTCCCCCCCAAGACCCAACGGGTCTAGCGGCCCCCAATAAAGTAAAAAGATCTTTTTGGATTGTTCAATCGAGTATTCAACTTCAATCTATTTTATCTTTATTAACACTTTATTTGACAAAAACATTTATCAAGATTTTTTATTTTTGTTTTAATCTATTTTATGGCTTTCTCTTTAAGTTAATTGATGTGCTTGAAAGCATTTTGTTGATTTTTTATAAATTTCTAGAAAAACCTGCAGAATTAATGGTTGAATGGATTGCAGAAATCTTTTTAATTGAATGGTCTTCAGATTTAACAACTTATATACCAGAAGCGTTTGATATTTCTATTTGGAATTCACTTACGAAATTTTCTCGTTCTACAAGACCTTTAGGAGGGTTATTGTTTGGTTTTACGTTTCAAAAATTTTTTTTAGGCTCGTTAGAAATTTTTTATAGTTGGATGTTAAAGCCTGATAAAGATTTAATTCTTCGTCAAAAAAAAGGTGTTATTTTCTGGGACATCTGGGCAGAAATTTTAATTCAAGCGGCGGAAAAATATAAAATGAATCTATCTTCTTTAACCACATTAAAAGAAGAACAGGAACTTTTAATTGAAAATTTATTAGCTGAAAAAGAACTTTTACTGAATAGAACGCAATTAAATTTGTTTCAATCACGAAATTCAATAGTTAAGGAAACAAATTTTTTCAATTCCGAAACGTTTAAAAAGTCATTAATCAAGATGACACCTCTGATGAAATTTTTACAAATTTACCCCCCAAATCCGTTCTGGAATTTATTACATTCTTCAAAGTCTTCTATATCGGTAGTAAAAAATAATCCTTATAAATTTTTTGTCTCGGACAATCAATTATTAAGTCTAAGTCAATTAAAAATTGACACTCAACCCTCTCTTAGCTTAGTTCAAAAAACTAAGTCTTTAGATTCATGGAAAAGATGGTTTGTTAATCAATCTCTAACAACCCAGGGTCGAGATACGGATTTATTTATGGATATTCACCCACCTAAATCTTTCTTGAACTTAAGTTTTTTAAAAACTTATTTACCTGCTCAAGAAATTTTAGGTTCTTTAGTTTGTGATATTTATTCTGGTCTTTTCGCTCAAAAAATTTCGAAAAACATTTTAGTAGTTGGTGCACCGGGGGCGGCTAAAAGTTTTTTTATTCAAGCTTTAGCGGGAGAGACAGAGTTGAAAATCGTAACTGATAATGCTCATCGATATGCATTGGTTCAGGGTGGTGTACCAGTTGGTATGAAATTATTAAGAGATGTTTTTGATTCTATTGCTCTCCATACACCATGTTTATTTTTATTGGAAGACATTCATGTGATTGGTGAACGCCGTCCAATGTTAATTTCAGATGAGGAAAACTCAAAAGCAACAGATTCTACGTTTGGAGCCGAACAAGAAGAAGTTCATGAAAAAAATAGATCAATTTATCAATTAAGTAGACATTCGATTTCACATTATAAACGGCCTTATAAAGGTGATTTTTCTCTTTCAATCCCTACCAATCATTTTTGTTATGATTTGTTTTTAGGTATTAACCCACTTAAAAAACGTCGATCAGGCTTAACTGCAAAAGGTCCTCTTCCAATTCGTGAACTAGAAAAAGCATTAATGGGTATAGAATCTTTACCTTCAAATAAACAAGAATTCATTTCTTTTGACGAAAATAACAATACATCAAATAGTCAAGCTTTACTAAGTGTATTACAAATTTCGACTGAACAGGTTTTTGCTCCTCCTGCAACATCACCATTTAACATTTTACTTATGAAAGAACAAAAAAAACTTAAACCAAAAAAATTGGTCAAAGAAATGCCGTGGAGTGGACTTTCATACGATAAGATTATGTTGATCTCAAAAAGTCATTATTCGGTTCGTGTAAAGGTGGCTTTATTAGCTGAAATGGCAATGACGAATTTATCTATTAAATTAGACATGATCACAGATTTATTGGTTATTATAGATAGTGTTCGATCTAATCGAGGATTTGTTGTATTTGCCACAACTCATTTACCTTCTTTACTAGATCCAGCTTTACGTCGGCCGGGGCGTCTCGATGAAACCATTTCATTACCACTTTTACCTAATTTAATGAGTCGTTTTGAAATTTTCAAAACAAGTTTATCTTCCTACACTAAAGCAACGGATTTATTAGACTATAGTCTCTTAAGTTCAACAATTGAACAAAACGAAAATCAAATTTATTCAGCTATTTCTAAAAGTTTATTATTGTTGTTAAACACAAAAAAAAATTTTAATGTATCAAGTAATTTATTGAAACCAAAAGTTTTTTCAGGATTCTTTAATGATTTTCCTATTTATAGTGTTTCTCAAGCTTTTCAGACTTCAATATATCTTCGTTCTTTATTAATTAATACGTCGCAGATTAAAAAATATTTAACTCAAGTATCAAAATCTAAATTTACTGCAATTGAATTTAAAACCAAAAAACAAAAATCTAGCATTTATGAAGATAATTTATACAATCTTTTAAATAAAGAAGTTTTTAATTTTGTTTTATCTGGAACGGATAAGTTTAATTTTATTGCTTTAACTTATGCTCAAGCAGGTCAGTTTTTAGTTGAAGCTTTGATTATTCATGATCAAAGTACTTACTCATGCAAATTTTTAACTCAGCTTACTAAAACTCAAGATAGTTATAATACCGAAGAACAGATTTTTAAAAGCTTATACAATTCTAAAATAGAATCAAAAAACACTTTATTAAAGCTTTTTGCAGGAAAAATAGCAGAATTTTTTGTATTAAACAGTTCCTATTCTCAAAAACTAAAAAGTTTTAACAATTTTTCAAATTCTTTTTCGAAAAACAAATCAAAATTAATCTCATTAAATAAAAATGTAAAAGTTGCTTCGTCATCTGAAGACGATACTTTATTCATAAAATCAAATGTAGCTCTTTCACTAAAAAAAGATTGGTGGTTACATGCTAGTTCTTTATTACAAACAAATCCTTCGCAATCAAGTTTATTCGAAAACATACAAAATTTTCAAATGTATTGGCAATCAGCAACTGCTTTTTTAGACTCTTTGTTTCAAAAACGTTATTTATATAATAAGAGCTTTGTTGTTTCTAAAATGTTATTTTTTGAAAATCAGTCTAGTTTACGTGAACCACCAAGCCCTCCGAATTCTTCTATTCTTATGCCAGCAAAAAAATTTGAAAATTATAAACGCACTTTAAAAGATTTTCTTCAAAAGCCAACGTTAACAATTAATGAAAAAATTCAAATGCATCAAAAACAAAGATTTTTAAAACTTCTTTATAATATCTCTATTCAAACCTCTTTTACAACTGTGTCTTCTAAACATTCTGGAGAACATTTACCAAACTATCAGACAGATCATCAAGAAACAAATTTTGATAATTCGTTTAAAGAATTAGGATATCTAGATCTTATGATGTTAAAACCAACAGCAAGTTATTGCTTTTACAAAAATCGTTTCTTAACACGTCACCGATTCTCGTTTTTAAATCAATGGTGGAATGGACAACTTGCAGAACATAACGTAGAGACAACGTATTTAAGTCATGTTGATTGGCGTTCAATGTTTGTACAATCTATGGGAGACATTGTTATAGATTTTCCAGATGCTGATCAATATTATAACCCAAAAACAAGACGTTGGTTCTTACATTCAACTTCTTGGAATTATTGGTTAAGTTTTGAAAATAATAAAAAAGACGAAATTTCACAACATTATATTCTTTATTGTTTTACAAAAACATTTCACCTATTAAATTTTAATCGTGAATTGTTTGATTATTTAGCTTTCCGTTTTTTACGTTATCATCAACTTAAAGAGATTGATCTTTTACATATTTTAAGTCGTTTTTATAAAACAAAATTTTAAAAATTGTTATTTTTTACACAAATAGGTCTTTGATTAAAATTTATATTAATTTAAAAATTATTTTTAGTAACAAATTCAAATATTGTTAAAACTGTTTTACAAAATAATTTTAAACTATTTACAACCTGCTGTTTTTACTTACTAGCAAAGTTTGTTTTTTATAATCTTAACAGCATAAAAAACAAACTTTGCTATTTAATTGAGTTTAGATAATCAGTGATCTTGACAATTTCAAGACAACTTAGTTTTTAAGAAAATTTATTGGATTAAAAAAAAAAATAAGTTATAATATAACTAAAAATTTTAATTTTTATTTATATTATTTAGCGTTTTGATTTTTTTCGTTCAGCATTTGATTTTATGATTCTAAAAATCCAGTTCTATATAACTGATTTAAAAACTTTTTTTGTTTGAATTATTAATATTGTCAAGATTAATAAAACTTAAGTGTAAGAAGCTTACCTCAACATTTGAAAAAAAATTTTAGAAAAAAGTTGTTTTCATTAACTGATCTTTTATGCTTTTTTAAAAAAAGGGTTGTTTTATTTCTAAATGTCTAGGCCCGTAGGGCCTTTTGGATCGAAGATCCAACGGGGTTCCGAGGGCTTCGAGGGGCTAATAGGGGCCAAAGGCCCCCTCGAAGCCTTAGAGGGCCGAAGGCCCGGGGGGAACCCCCCGTATAACGTTGGTATGCAGAAAATTGGCCTGAATAAAGACTTTTAATTAACACCTTAAGTTTTTCTAATCAAAAAATTTAAGGTGTCATAAATAAATATAAATTTCGAGTAAGATTGAAAATTTGGAAAGCTGCTATGTTTCAGCAAAAATGCTCATAAATTTATTTCCTAAGGAGATCCCGTGGAAACACTGTTTAACGGAACACTAACAGTAGGAGGTCGTGACCAAGAATCCACAGGTTTTGCTTGGTGGTCAGGTAATGCTCGACTAATCAACTTATCTGGTAAACTATTAGGTGCACACGTAGCACATGCAGGTTTAATCGTTTTTTGGGCAGGTGCTATGAACTTATTTGAAGTAGCACACTTTGTTCCTGAAAAACCAATGTACGAGCAAGGTTTAATTTTATTACCTCATTTAGCTACTTTAGGTTATGGTGTTGGGCCAGGTGGTGAAGTTATTGATACTTTTCCATATTTCGTATCTGGTGTTTTACACTTAATTTCTTCAGCTGTTCTAGGATTTGGTGGTGTTTATCACTCATTAATTGGACCTGAAACATTAGAAGAATCTTTCCCATTTTTTGGTTATGTATGGAAAGATAAAAACAAAATGACTAACATTTTAGGTTACCATTTAATTATTTTAGGTTTAGGTGCTTGGTTATTAGTTTGGAAAGCTCTTTACTTTGGTGGTGTGTACGATACTTGGGCACCAGGTGGTGGAGATGTTCGTTTAATTACAAATCCAACAACAAACGCAGGAGTTATTTTTGGTTATTTAGTTAAATCACCATGGGGTGGTGATGGTTGGATTGTTAGTGTTGACAACATGGAAGACATTATCGGTGGACACATTTGGATTGGTACTTTATGTATCTTAGGTGGTATTTGGCACATTTACACAACTCCATGGCCATGGGCACGTCGTGCTTTTGTTTGGTCAGGTGAAGCTTATTTATCATACAGTTTAGGTGCAATTGCTACAATGGGCTTTATTGCTTGTTGTATGTCTTGGTTCAACAATACAGCTTATCCTAGTGAATTTTATGGTCCAACAGGTCCTGAAGCCTCTCAATCACAAGCGTTTACTTTCTTAGTACGTGACCAACGTTTAGGTGCTAACGTTGCTTCTGCTCAAGGTCCTACAGGTTTAGGTAAATATTTAATGCGTTCACCAACAGGTGAAATCATTTTTGGTGGTGAAACAATGCGTTTTTGGGATTTTAGAGGTCCATGGTTAGAGCCATTACGTGGTCCTAACGGTCTTGATTTAAACAAGTTAAAAAATGATATTCAACCTTGGCAAGAACGCCGAGCTGCTGAATACATGACTCATGCGCCTTTAGGTTCTTTAAACTCTGTAGGTGGTGTAGCAACTGAAATTAACGCGGTAAACTTTGTTTCTCCACGTAGTTGGTTAGCTTGTTCACACTTCGTATTAGGTTTCTTCTTTTTTATTGGTCACTTATGGCACGCAGGTCGTGCTCGTGCAGCTGCAGCTGGTTTTGAAAAAGGTATTGACCGTTTAGATGAACCTGCTTTATCAATGAGACCTTTAGATTAATTCAAAGGATCTTAATGATTCATTTTCAAGTATGATTTTCAAAAGCTTAATTATAAAATTAAGCTTTTGAAAATCATGCTATTTTTTAATTTTATAAAAAATTAAACTTTTTTATAAAAATTTGTTTTTTCTTTTGCTCCAAAATCTTTGATTTTGGACAGGGCGGGGGGGATCCCCCCCCCCAAGGCGAAGGGCTAGGCCCTATGGGCCTAGGGGCTCCCCCCAACTTTTTATTATGAGCTTTTTTTCAACTAAAAATTGAAGACTTTTTTGCAATTGTCGTTGGCTAAGGGGCAAAGCCCCCCTAGACCCATTGGGTCTCGTCGGGGGCCCTTGGCCCCCCGCGTAATGTTGTTATTCAGAAGCCCCGCAAAAGTCGCGTTGAAAACATTGAATAGAGAATAAAAGATTTGAAGAGTCTAACACCAAGAATTAGACAAAGAAGAAATCAAATTTTTAAATTTTTTATTCAATTTAATTGAATAAAAAAAATTTATCTGTTAATATTTTTTAAAAATATTAAAAACTTCATCTAATTACTTTTTTTTTATAAAAAAGTAAATAAACAAAAATGAGCTTTATTTTTAACTCTAAAGTCTATGTTCCAAAGAAATAGACTAAAAAGCCTTTTGATTAAAAAAAAATTACAACAACACTATTTTTTTTCAATTGAATGGGATATTGGCATTTGGGTCTTTTATATCTATTGTTTTACAATATATTTTTGTTTTTAAGACAAGTTTTTTTCTGATTTGTTTAACTTAAACGAAAACTTCAACTTTAGATGAAGACCTAAAGTCGGTTATAGTCGTGTTTTGAATATAAATAAAAAATTTTACCGATTTGAGTCTTTAATGTATTTTTTCAGTTAATCTATTAACCTTTTCATTCTTAGATTAACTTTCAATAGTCCATCTTCTTCGGAAAATCTCGGCTTTTTCCTTCTTTCGGGTCTTCGGGCTTCTATGAGGAGCTCCCCCCCCCCCCCGACCCATCTGGTTTCTAGGGGCCTTTGGACCCGAGTTTCCCCAAAACACGGACCTTTATTGGAATCTTTGGTTCCGATCGTTAAAAAAAATCGATGAGTCGGGTTCTTTGGGTCAAAAAACATGACCTTTAGTCAGAAAAAGAAAGCAGCATGCGCAGATTTGGTCCATAACATAATTAAAATTTACAACTTGAAATCAATTACTCCAAGCTAAGATCTATTTAGTAAATATTAATAACTCATTAGATCGATAAATGATAAAGCAAAATACAAATAACAGTTAGTATAAAGTAAAATAAATATTTTTAGACAAAAGAATTAAGTAAACAAAGATATTTAAAAATTTTCATGGGATTACCTTGGTATCGTGTACATACAGTAGTTATTAATGATCCGGGCCGTTTAATTTCTGTTCATTTAATGCATACAGCATTAGTAGCAGGTTGGGCAGGTTCAATGACTTTATTTGAAATTGCCGTTTTTGACCCATCAGATCCAGTATTAAATCCGATGTGGCGTCAAGGTATGTTTGTACTACCTTTCATTACACGTTTAGGTGTAACACAATCTTGGGGTGGATGGACAATTAGTGGAGAAACTGCTACAAATCCGGGTCTTTGGAGTTATGAAGGTGTTGCGGCAACTCATATCGTATTATCAGGTTTATTATTTTTAGCCTCAGTATGGCACTGGGTTTACTGGGATTTAGAACTCTTCCGTGACCCAAGAACTGGGAAAACAGCTTTAGACCTTCCAAAAATTTTTGGTATTCATTTATTCCTTTCAGGTCTTTTATGCTTTGGTTTTGGTGCGTTCCACGTTACAGGTTTATTTGGGCCTGGTATTTGGGTTTCAGATCCTTACGGATTAACAGGAAGTGTTCAACCTGTAGCTCCTTCTTGGGGTGCTGATGGTTTCGATCCATACAACCCAGGTGGTATTCCAGCTCACCATATTGCAGCAGGTATCTTAGGTGTTTTAGCAGGATTATTCCACTTATGTGTTCGCCCATCAATCCGTTTATATTTTGGTCTTTCAATGGGTAGTATTGAAACTGTTTTATCTAGTAGTATTGCAGCTGTTTTTTGGGCTGCTTTTGTAGTAGCTGGGACTATGTGGTATGGTTCAGCTGCAACTCCTATTGAATTGTTTGGGCCAACACGTTATCAATGGGATCAAGGTTTTTTCCAACAAGAAATTCAAAAACGAGTTCAAACTAGTCAAGCTGAAGGTGTTTCTCTTTCAGACGCTTGGTCGAAAATTCCAGAAAAATTAGCATTCTACGATTACATTGGTAATAACCCAGCTAAAGGTGGTCTTTTCCGTACAGGTGCTATGAACAGTGGTGATGGTATTGCTGTAGGATGGTTAGGACACTCGGTTTTTAAAGATAATGAAGGTCGTGAATTATTCGTTCGACGTATGCCTACTTTCTTTGAAACTTTCCCTGTTTTATTAATCGATAAAGATGGTGTTGTTCGCGCTGACGTACCTTTCCGTCGTGCTGAATCTAAATATAGTATTGAGCAAGTTGGTGTAACTGTAACTTTTTATGGTGGTGAATTAGATGGTTTAACATTTAACGATCCAGCTACGGTTAAAAAATATGCTCGTAAAGCTCAATTAGGTGAAATTTTTGAATTTGACCGTTCTACTTTACAATCTGATGGGGTTTTCCGTAGTAGCCCTCGTGGTTGGTTTACTTTTGGTCACGTTTGTTTTGCTTTACTATTCTTCTTTGGTCATATTTGGCATGGTGCACGTACTA